TTTTTAATAAAAAAGAAACTTTTTTTTTTTTAAAAAAAAAAAGGAATATGTATAATTATCACCTTTCTAACGTGAAGTCCAAGTATGAACAAACTAATAACAGTTAAAACATGTGGAGTTTTAAGACAATGTATTTGGAGTAATGCTAATTTTAACAATAAAAATAATATTTGAGTTCCTAATTGTAATTCTTATGGAGGATATAATATTCATGGTTCCAAGTTACCTAATGCTCTCTATATTATAGTAATAATATAATCAATATAGTTATATAACACATATATATCATGAGCAAATCTACTATTATTTTAGTTCATGCCTGATGATAAGTCTCTCTGTCATTAAGATTTTCGTTTGGGTGAAATGGAGAAGCTGCGAAAAAAATACTATTAAGTAAAAGAAAATGCTGTGGTCTCGATAATTCTTTAAGACAGTCAAGAACGACTTTTTTCTTTAAATGAGGATAATGACGGCCCGCTGTCTATAATAAATGAAAGATAAGTTAACTATACAATACTACTAAATTCAAAGGAAATGAATATCTTATTTACCTGAAAGTAGACATCAATCAAACTTTCTGATATTTCACTGTTGGGTAAAAATTTCAGTTGATCTTCAACTAAAGATAAATCAGCAAAATCATCTTGCTTTTGAGGAAATATTTGCTCTTCATCATCTTGTGACATTAGTAAAGATCCTGGACCCACATATAAGGTTGACTCAAATTCCTCGGCAAGTCGATCCACAGGATCTTGTGAAAAGCCTATGTCATCATAAGTAATTTGAGTATCCTTTTATCGAAAAGAAAATGTATTTTAATTTGTCATTATAAAAATTTGATAATCTAAGAAGGTATTGATAACATTAAAAGTCGACAAACCTGTGTTGGTAAATTTGATCTGGGAAGATTATTTGCGGTAAATTCTGCAGAAAATAATAATGCTTCTTCAGCAAGGTCTAGATTTAAGCTCGGTGGCGGGCTTTCTCCTCCTATCTCGGAAGGATAATAATTATCCCATCCCTGATAA